TTTGACAAATGAGTTAGATTATATAAATAATTTGACGAAGGATCATAAGGATACATGGTAAAATATGATTGTTCTATTATATCATATGCATGAACTGATAGAAGACAAATAAGTATAACTATATTTTTGGTTAATTGTGGATCTATGTTTGCTAAGTTAATTAATGTATCCCTTTTTATGAAGCCTAGAGAAAAAAAATACTTGAATTACTTGGTAGATGAAATTGGAAAGCAAAATATGGTTCAAATAACAGGTGGTTTAATTTTTCTATTTGAAATTTTAATTATATTATTTTATATTTTTAAACACTTATCAATTTTATTTTTATTTTTTTAGGCAATTACTCTGAGTAAAAAGGTTGCACTTGTATTAGACTTCATTCATTACACATTGTAATGAGGATATTGGAAAGATTAGAGACAGAATACCTTAGAAAAGATGATATTTGTTATTGGATTTATATATAATCATACTGAAACTGTGAACACGATAAGAGAATTTATAAGAAATAAAAAATTAATGAGATACGGTGTCAACGATTTACCACTTAATTTTTGTTATTACAAAGTGTTGATAGACAAAAACACAATCTTAGAAATATATTTATCTCTAAAAAATATGTGACAAGTAAATCGACAAAAGAGATGAAAGGCAAGAGAGCAAGTGATATTATCCTGATACCATCATTTGGAATCATATGGTCTATGTATCAAAAGTAATAGACCATCTTATTCGAGTTCTTTGACTCGTAAATAATGAGAAAAGGCTAGCAATACAAGGAGGATAAGAAGAAGATAGATGAGGAGGGGAAGGAGGCAGAGGTGATGAAGGAGGAGGGGGAGGAGACAGAGGTGGAGAAAGAGGAGAGAGAAGGGAAAGGTAGAGGAGGAGGAAGAAGAGTGGTTTTGTTGACCTAGACCGAACCGATTTAAGAAAAAGAATTGGATTATGTATTCTGCAATGAAAACCAAATCATTTAACAAAATGAGTAGCATAATTGTTCATTCAAATAGAGAGTGTCAATCGGTAAATTCTTTTTGGTAAATTACCCAAAAGAATAAGACTAACTAAAATTTTACATCAAATCACATATGGAGAGCACTTAGCTTGATGATCTCCATTAAGAAAAGCCAACAAAGCACATGCATCTCTAATTTGCCAAATGATCACTAGAAACTAAGACTATTATCTTTGAGAGTATCATAAAGATTATTTACATGTGGAAAATCTTTAAGAAAAAGCATATGCCTTCGAAGCATGCCCTCTTGTAAAAGGGAATCATTCATCTATCACAGGCTTATACCTAGACCTACTTATGAAAACACCAGCTTAAAATCATCATTCACAGAACTATCGTAGCTCAAAGAAGAATCTTGGATGTAAAGGTTCTACGTTCATTCTCTCCTCAGTTGAATATTCACACAAAATAGAAAAGAAGATATCACCTTGAATACGAAGACATAATGCTGTCTTGAAGCTGATGGGCACCAAGCAACTGGAGTTTCACATTAGGTCATGTGATAAACTGCAGAAGGAATAAGACAATGTTCAAATTAACTAATATTTGAGCAACTCAAGGAAAACTTTAGGACCTTTTAAGGAGCAAGGATCAATAAAAATAAATTACTTCATCAAATAATTCATTTTCAAGCATTTAAATGTCATTCAAATGCCAGGACCACACATGATATCATTATGGATCTCATTAAGGATGCTTTATGCTGAATAAATATGCTTGATTTGTGATTCAAAAGGCCCACCAATAACAACTTAAGACATCTATACGATCACAAAAAAAGAGCACACTTCAAACGGTAAAGTATATAGTTTCACAGTACTACATCTGTCATAGAGAGCGTATAAGCGACACTGTAAGTGAGACAAAGACTGTATTTTGAATTTGACTGAAAGTTTATCAAGCAATGCAATTTTGCAAAAATAAAAAAAGAACTAAAGAAAAATGAAGTACCTACTGATTTTATGATTACAGAGAGACAAAGACTGTATTTTGAATTTGACTGAAAGTTTATCAAGCAATGTAATTTTACAAAAATAAAAAAAAGTACTAAAGAAAAATGAAGTACCTATTGATTTTATGATTATAGAGAGACAAAGACTGTATTTTGAATTTGACTGAAAGTTTATCAAACAATACAATTTTGCAAAAATAAAAAAAAACTAAAGAAAAATGAAGTGCTTACTGATTTTATGATTCAAGAGAGACAAAGACTGTATTTTGAATATGATTGAAAGTTTATCAAGCAATGTAATTTTGCAAAAAAAAAAAAAGAACTAAAGAAAAATGAAGTACCTACTGATTTTATGATTACAGAGAGACAAAGACTATATTTTGAATTTGACTGAAAGTTTATCAAGCAATACAATTTTGCAAAAATAAAAAAAAAGCTAAAGAAAAATGAAGTACTTACTGATTTTATGATTACAGAGAGACAAAGACTGTATTTTGAATATGATTGAAAGTTTATCAAGCAATGTAATTTTGCAAAAATAAAAAAAAGAACTAAAGAAAAATGAAGTACCTACTGATTTTATGATTACAGAGAGACAATGACTGTATTTTGAATTTGATTGAAAGTTTATCAAGCAATGTAATTTTGCAAAAAAAAAAAGAAAAAAAAGATAACACAAGCACACAGCTGATATTTCAACCATGAGCTGTCTCTAGCTCATCAGTGAGGTTCTACAGATATGGTTGAAACTAAGCCACGTCTAGCTATTCAAAAAGCCACAAGGTCCACATTGCTTCATCAGGGGGACATATTCTGACCAAATACTTATTTGTATAAACAACCAATTATGATACAACCACGACTATCAAATTAGCCCATTAGTGTTGGTCTCACTGCTAAGGCGCCTATACATGCACGCAAGTCAGTCTTTTTAGCTGTCTAGCGATATCCATCATCAGGACTAAGAAAGAAAGAAACAGAACGGAAACACACACAGCTTGATTTGGACTTCAGCCATTGGTTATATTTCAGCAATGGGGATGAAGTGTAACATTCTGGTAGCTGAAGTTGAACCGACAATCTTCTTTGGGTTTGACAATGGGTATTGCAACTGAAACAGAAAGATTGACAAGCAGGAAGATGAATGGGAACAAGCCACAATCATCAAGAAACCTAAAAATAGTAGACCTCTCATGGCGAGATTTACATACTCTCGCTCTGGATGTTCTTTGCCTTACCTTACGGAGGTTCAACGAATTATAGGGCAAAATAAATCAATAAAGAGAGAAAGACAAGAAATCTACTAGGATCTGCAACAATATTAAATTGATTAGATTCTGATAAGGCACTTCTAAGATCAAAACAAGTTTCCCTCTTTCACCATATAATCATCTAGGGCATCGATCTGAAGACGAGGAATCGCACGCTTTGCATCGTTCGTGGGGATCGCCGAGCCGAGCCGATCCATCGACCGAGTCGGTTCCGGGCCCTCGGGGAACACCATGCAATCCAAGAACTCTCTTCAACCTCCGGATCCTCCGCCACACGACCTAGGCCATCCTCGCCGGTCGGCGAAGCGGGCGAAGGGATGCGGCAAGACGTCGCGACGACTCCTTATATGAGTTCTCGAGGGAGGAGAGACGACGGGGTCGAACTCTTCGGAGGACCGACGGGAGTAGGCGGGATTCGAAGCGGCGAGGGAGCTTTTCCACCGTTGGATGCGGCATACAAAAAAAAAGTGGGCGGTGGATCGAAGGCAATTATGTTTGAACCTAACCATCTAATTAATATACACTAAATTACGGCTTAAGTCAAGCAATCTACTTTAATTATATATTTATTATCTATAGATATTATAGTTAGAAAAGATGATACAGTTCAAAATTATCAAAGATTAATATATATTTGCAGTGTTTTTTTTTTGAATTTATATTTTAAACAATATTTATATTTATATTTTAAACAATATTTATATTTATATTTTAAACAATATTTGATTATAATATAATTTAAATAGAACAAAGCATAAATAGTATGTGGAAGTAAACAACTTCGTTTATGCATTCATTTTTAGCCCTTCCAGAATATCTTTTTAAATTTTTAACAAAAAAATAAACTATTTCATATTATCACCTGTTCTCAAAGCATTAAACTGTAATTAAGCCAGAGTTTTATTTTTGGTGATTTTAAAAGATGAGGGGAAAAAACACAAAACCAATTATTATTATTATTATTATTATTATTATTATTATTCCGGCAATCTCTCCTTATCATACGTATTATATGAAGCTAATATTTCTAATTGTTGAAAGAGAATTAAAAGACTGGGCATTCATTAGCAGCCACCACCACAAGCTTCCCTCTCCAACCCAATTTATGTGTGTCAATAAACATACCTACAAGGACTGGTCTGCAACTTGTCCACGTTACATGGTCGGGTTTTGATCCCCTCAGCATGAGCATTCCGATAATATCTTCTCTCCTCCCTTCTTCCTCTCCCCACCGTCTCTCCTGAGTCCTCCATCGACATATATGATTATGATATGGTCACGAAATCGACCCGGGTAAAGTATCGATGAGACTATTAAACGTGAGGAATCACAAGTGACGCGAACGCGGCGCGCTTTGTCTGCTGCGGGTATCGTACTCGATGCTCCCGAGGGGTGGAGGGGCTCGAGGGGCCAGGCCTATTTCCCTTTAAGGCAAGTTCCCCTGTGCCGTGGCTCTTCCGGTTCTTGCTGGTGTCGTGCGGTTCTTGACCCGGCCTTTTACTTGTTAGAGTATTTTAACTGGTGCTTCTGGGTTAGAGGTGGAGACATGATTTCTTATTCGGTTTGGTGTTATCAAGTTTGGATTTTGATTGCTTGTCGACGAGAAAGTTTGGGTTTTGCTTTGCTGTGCTTTTTTTGATTTAGATGTCTGCGATTTGTAGGTTTTGTTTGGTTTACTGATCTAGAGATGAAATGTGGATGGAGACATTTCATCCGATGTTGGAAACCTGATAATGCCTTCTGTTTGTGGATGGTAATATCGTCTGATAATGCCTTCTGTTTCCAATTGGATCCTTTGTGGTGATGCCCGTTGTCGGAAACCCAAATAAATCTTATTGTTTTAGATTGCTATCTAGCGGTGTTTGTTGTTTATCGATCATAGTTTGCTGAAAGAAGGTCCAAAATGAGATATTCGTGAACAAAATGTTGTTCTTTTCTATCTATGTTGTTTTTTCTTCGGAAAAGAAAAGATCTGTTACTTCAAAAATCTAAAACAGGATTACCATGCTCCTCGGAGCACAAGAAGTAGCCAGATCCGCTGGCCAGTCATGCCAACAAACACAGGAGGATTTAGAAACCATAGTGCCAGCAAACCAGTTGGCACTATGGTTTCCCTCACGAAAGACGTGACAAAATTTGCAAGCTTGGAAACATTGAGCTAAGCCAAAATTTCATTTTAAACACATGATCAGATTCCAAGGAGGTTCTTCCTTTAAATTCAGAATTTTGATAAGAGTCTTTGCGTCTGATTTAACCACTAGATTAGAGATTCCTTCTTGTAGAGCATGATCCATTCCTTCTTTGATTACCAGTATACCAGCTTTGAGATGATTGATTCCAGGGAGAAAGGTGCAAGGTGCATCCTGCCAGCTTACAAACTCTAATCTCAAAACCAGCTCCTCCATCTCCATCCTGCACAGCAAAAGAATCATCAGTGTTAAGTTTATACCATCCTAACTCAGGCTTAGACCCAGTTACACTGATCTGATTTCTCACTAAACAACCTTCAGACAGATTAAAGGGTTTACAGCATGTAGCATAAGATGCAGTTCTGATGATAATAGAGATTGGGTGACTCTTGGCAACTTTAAGGGCGTCTCACTTTGGGCCAACCAGATAAACCAAAGACAGAAGACAATAAGTGCTATAAGATTCCAGCAGCTAGAATTGGTAAGGTCCTCTCCCTCATCCAACCAATCCCCCCTGATTGTTTTCATTGAGACTCTTGATTGTTAAGAGTGGACTATGCTGAATGAACCTACTCACTATGTAGAACTTGTTGAGGTCACCTGTGATTTCTTGGTATGCTTGGTCTGACTGTTTAAAATAGGACCTTGGAACAGGTTCAGAAACTAATATAAAACATACATTGTGGATGAAGGTCTACTGATGTTCACTTTACTGTTTATTTCTGTGTTGTGGATGAAGCTGTACATTTCAAGATACTGTTTGCAATTGAACTGTGCTTCTGTAAGTATGCAAATCTTCTTTTTTATTTTAGGGAGCCAATTGGCTTACAACTTTTTTGACTGGAAGAAGCATATTTGGACCTATGGAGGGCACGACTGACATTAACTACTCTATGGATAGTTTAGAAGTAGATCCTCTGCAGTTCAAAGAAAATGATCACCTATCAGAGCAAACCAGAAGTTACAATTTACTTGAATCACCTCCTCCGGCAACTATTCCGGTGATCAATTGGTCTGAGCACATTTCTCGTTTGAGGTCTACTGAGTTTAACTTGGAATCGTTGGTCAGTCAAAGTGTTCACTGTGATTCGGAATCACTATATAGGTATGAATCATCATACAACAACCCACCTTCAAACTACCATCGAGACATGGTCAAAGAATTGACCCTGAGAAACTACAAGAGCCCAAGCCTGTCTGTAGTTGGTTGCTATCACAGTGAGGAAGATTTCCCACAAGAGGACTCGAAAGAAATGTTGGATAGAACAAGATCTTTGTTATCTGAAAATTCACCAACATTCACTAAACAAGTGGATGCTGGCAATTCATTTTTGCCCCAAGTCAGCATCCAGACGCCTCCTTTAAGCAGACAATTTGGTCAGAATTTTTCAGAATTATCTGGTCTCGGTGACAAATACATTCTCTCAGACAATCATACATTTATAGACTATACTGGTGCTGCACAAGATTGCAACCCGCAAGACTCTGGATTTGAACTGTTCTCAGTCACGAATGCATTGAAAGGGAAGGGAGTTGCATCGAGATGTCCAGATGATGTTAATTTTCAAACTTATGCTGATCAAAATGATCAATTGACAGCACAGACAGCTCCTGTTGGTTTCCAAAGATCCTGTGTTAAATCTTATTGCTTGTCTCCACTTGCTACCATCAGTGAGAGTTTATTGGGAATTCATGAAGAAGGAATTAGCTTAAGAAGTTTCCTTAAACCTCAAAGCAGCTTAAATAAAGTGGAGAGACTGCACATGTTCAAGCTGATCGTGGATCTCATTAGTAGCTTGCATTCTCAAGGATTTTTTCTGAAGCATTTATGTCCATCACATTTTGTTATGTTGCAATCAAAACAAGTTAAATATGTAGGCCCACTCATTCCCCAAGGTCAAATGGAACTGTTAGAAGGCAAAAGAGAGCCAGATGTGGATCATTTGAATTTGAAGAACTCTTTAAAAAGGAGATGGAACTTGGTAGATGGAAGAGAGTTCAATGAAACTCTATTAACTAAGCATCAGAAAGTGTGTGAGCAATTCATATCTCCAAGCCATACTGGTGTCTTAAAAGGAGAAGTCGGTAAAGAGTTTGACCCACAAAATTTTCAAATTGAAAATTCTATCTGTGAAGTTTCGGGCAGGCTGCAAACTGGTGGAGCATCCAAGTCCCATAATTTTCCTGTAATTTTGGAGTTATCTTCTGGTGGCCATTATGCAGTGTCCGATGTTCTGAAATTGGAGGAGAGGTGGTATGCTAGTCCTGAGGAGCTAAATGAGGGTTCCTGCTCTTCTTCATCAAATATCTACAGTCTTGGGGTTCTTCTTTTTGAGGTAAGACAGGCGTTTTACTAGACTACTATATAGCAATTTTTTGACCATTTCTATCTTTATCATTGGTCAAATGGCTGACCAGCATATACTGAAGGGCAGGTTTTCCTTAGAATACATAAATGCAGCAGAAATTGGATCATTACCATGTATTTTGAATTACATAGTTCAATTATGTTTATAGACAATGAGAACTTCTGATGCATGTTGTGCTTATGAATCTGCAAGGCCAGGATTTTTTTAATCTTTACTGCAATATTCATTTATGACTTGTCCACATATTGATTACACATTTGCATGCCTAGAGGACATAGTAATAGGTCATTTGGCAGCTAAGAAAATGACATTTGTGCTATAAGAAGCTAAATTTGCCTTCTAAAGTGAGGGTCATATATAGTCACATTCTCAAATATGTTTATAGACAGTGAGAACTTCTGATGCATATTGTCTTATGAATCACAAGGCCTTTTTTTAATCTTTACTGCAAGATTCATTTATGACTTGTCCATGTATTGATTACACATTTGCATGCATAGAAGACATTGTAATACGTGAATAAATCATTTGGCAGGTAAGAAAATGACCTTTCATCCTATAAGGTGCTAAATTTGAATTGTAAAGTGAGGATCATAGATAGTCACATTATCAAAGTAATATCTGAGTCAACAAAGATCAGTTTCACCTTCCGCTTAGGGTTTGACAACATCTAGTTCAAAGATCATCTTTAATCAAGAAGGTATTAAAATTCTTAATAAATACCTATTCACAACCAAATTATTATGCATAACTCTAATTTTCATATTTTTCACTTTTTAAATAGTTGGGTCCAATTTTTTTTAGAGGAGGAAAAGTATCTGTCATTTGATATATAGGTGTATACATAATTAATATGACAGCATCATGTAATGTGTATGGAAAAACAAACCATACCTATAAGTCAAGAATTAGAATCTTTGAGATTTGTCAAATGGGAGTTCTCAAGTGCATTCTTTGGGAGTGTATGCAAAATATGTTTCACACCAAGGTTTGCTATACCGTACCGTACCGGCGTTTCGACCCAGGCTCGGTATGGTATGATACCGGTGTACCGGATGGTACATCAGGGCGTGCCGAGCGGTACACCCTGGTGTACCGAACAATTTTTTATTTTTTTCATACTGTAGCAGTGCTACATATAGTACTGTAGCACTGTAGCAGTGCTATAGTATAGTACTGTAGTACTGTAGCGGTACCGGGCGGTTCGAGTACTGGTAACCTGTCGGACCGGTACGTACCGCCTGGTACGGACGGTATGCTTCGGTATGACAGACCTTGTTTCATACTAATGCTATGCTGGTGCTAGAAAGTGGGAAAAAAATAGAAAGGGAGAAGTGGGGGAAAGATCTTATCTTGTTTTGCTTATTCTACTATTTATTTCCTATTCCGCCATACTTTTATAAAAGGACCATTTTTAGGCAACCGGGAGGGTTGCAATGAATGATGATATATATTGAAGGGCTTCATTATTGAGAGAAAACCCCTGAAATTAGTTCAATGTTCCACAAGATTTGAAAAGACAAAGGAAAACAATATCATCAAATTCATCCATACTCAAACTCCACATTTGGAGGGCAACGGTATTGTTACTATGTTAGCGCAAAACATGCCAACTAGTAGGGTTCACACTTCACACAAGTTAGCATGACAGTCTTTTCATTGGTTTATTTTCTTCGTAGCATTTAATTAGGTTGTCCGAATTGATTTGAGGCTTAGTAAGAAAACCTATGCTCAGTAAGAAGCCAAGCTGACGTATTATCATATCAAGTTTTTTAGGAAATAATTTATACAACAAACATGTGGGGCAGGATTGAATTCCTTTGTTTTTGAGAAAAATATAGGTTGGGTTATATTTTGATCCAAGTTGAATTTGCCCTTGTAGAGAGCACTATGCTTGAAAAATGTGACCCCTCCATATATTTAGACTTGAAAAGCAACTAGAATAATCTGGCCTTCTATTAATTTTTTTATTCTTAAATTGATTTGTCAACAATTGCCAATTTGCAGCAACTGGCTGCAGCACAATAGTGTGACTCTCTGCTACTGTGATGCCTTCTACCTTACTTTTTGGTGTTGCCTGCTACCTAGCACATACTATACTAACATATGCTATAATACTCTTCAGCTCTTCTGCCATTTTGAATCACAGAAAGCCCATTGTGTTGCAATGTCTAATCTGCATCATCGAATTCTTCCACCAAGTTTTTTATCAGAACATCCCAAGGAGGCTGGCATCTGTCTCTGGATGCTTCATCCAGACCCTTCTTCCAGGCCAAAAATAAGGTAATCATTTGCCAGTAATATATCCTATGGAATGTGCTTCTTCGTATCTGTAGGCCCTGGATATTGTGTCAAGAATTCTAACAAATTCCTCAAGAGGAATTCTATCTTCTAGAAATGCCCTTGTTTGGTTTATTTTTCTGTTAGGTTTTTATGTAGGGAGCAATTTACTAGTCTATTTTGGAAGTCTTTATTGCAAGCATGCCTATTCTTTAAGGCTCATACTCATATTTGGTTAACATTGGAGAGTAATGGGTGTAAAAAGCTTAGGCTGTTCCCAGTTACAGGGTAGCTACTAGCTGGAGATCATAATTGGAAGTTCTGTGACTATTGATGAAATTCTTGTGACATCATTTTGCTTTCACTTTGATAACATCCTAACTCTCATAAAGTTTAATAATATTCTTTCACTTTTGGGAAGAGCTATCAAAGTTTTTGATGATTTAGGTAACAGAAATTGTATTTTTGTCATTGTTGAGATCATGAACCCCTGAAGGGCTTAACAGAAAATATCTATTAAGAACTATCTTAAAGGGTTTTGTTCTTGTATGTTCTTCATTTTTTTCCACCGGTAGTGTTTGATCATCAAGCCTTTGGAAGACTGGAACAACAGGACATTCTAAAGATAGTAATTGTTAAGATCTTCAGATTAATTTTATCCACATACTTTACCCTTAATGAAGGAAATATTATACTTTTGTTATATGTTTCTATTAGCATTCCTGTGTAGACTGTTGACATACATTAGGACAGTATTACCATGCAACTTACTGACTGACATCGGTTGCATGGTGTCAACATATCTTTTTGTTCCATGCGTAAGATTTCCACCTTCCTTCATCCAGGCATATCCTAGTTTCTTTAATGATCACCTGAAATACATTTAGCCCAAAAGGTTTTATGTACCTTTTTTCCAATGCTTTTGGTGTAGTACCAAACAGAGTTGGGTCTTTTCCTGTTGGGGAAGTATTCTAGGGTTCATCTACCTGATGGAACATTGTTGCATGACCAACAGATATTGGTAGTATTGACACACAAATTCTATCAAATCTGACCTATTTGCCTCATCTACACCAACTTTCATACTTGCAATCAAGACTCTCCAAGTAATCTTCTCTATTGTACTCGTTTGCACATCTGCCCACAGTACTGCATCAAGTCTCAACATTAGCATGTTGAATCTCTCAGATGCCTGCAAATGTCTATTACAATCTTTATAGAAGGTTGTGGTGGTCTTCTAGGAGGCTATAGAGCAATGGTAATAAGAAACCATGACCTCAAATCTATATAAGAAACACTAGCCTATGACCTAGTCATAATAGACATCATTATTTTAAGTCATTATATGTATTTCATATTCTGCTGGTGCTTGATTTGGTTTTGCTTATTCTTATAATTTATTCATGAAAGAATATATGATTGTTAATTTGAAATATTTCTTCTCTGCTATAATAATAAGTATCTTTATCCATTGGAGAAACTTATACAGGACAATGTTCAAGAAGCAACTTTTTTATAAAGCTTTTTTTAATGTGGATGACAGTGATATTCTGCTATGTGACATATTTCGTAAAGATAGAGAAGCATCAATTATGGAGCAATTATCCACATCTGTTGATTGCGAACTTTCAAAAGCAGATTTGTTGTTGCATTTTCTATTAGCATTAAAAGAAAAGAAAGACAAGCAGACTGCCAAGCTGATGGAAGACCTTGGTTGCGTCAAAGCAGACCTAGAAGAAATAAAAAGCAGGCACTTCTCAACAGATCATGTTCATAAAGATTGGTTCTTGCAGACAAATTCTGCTGATATGTTAGGTGCATACACTTGCAAAGAACCACTACATGTGAATTTAAGATCTGGATTGTCCGCAATGAGCACAGATGGAATAATCTCAAAAATGAAGAACTTTGGTCTACTTGAAACTGCATACTTTTCCATGAGCTCTAAATCTGAGCATCCTGATATCAGCTCAATAGTTCGCCAAGATATAGATGTTCTAAGGCTCAAAAATCAATTATGTTCAGCTAAAAATGATGCAAGTCCCTCGTATATGGAAAAGGAGCCTTCCGACCAACGAGGATCCTTCTTTGAAGGTTTACGCAAGTATGCTCGTTATAAAAGATTTGAAGTTCATGGAAGTTTAAGATATACAAATATTCTCAACTCTGCAAATGTCATCTGCTCTTTGAGCTTTGACCAGAACGAAGAATACTTTGCTGCTGCTGGAGCATCAAAAAAAATTAAAGTATTTGAGTTTGGTGCTCTTATAAATTCTACTGTTGACATTCATTATCCAGTAATTGAGATGCCGAGTAAATCAAAGCACAGTTGTGTTTGTTGGAATGGCTACATCAGGAACTATTTAGCCTCAACAGATTATGGTGGTGTGGTTCAGGTGTGTATTCACAATGCATTTGTTTTCTCGTTGTACTCTCCTCATCACATCGAATACTGTGATCAATCACTCTTTTGATCACTATTTTTTTCCGAACTGCTTATTCTGATTGATGTTGTTGTATTTGGTTGCCTTTACAATTGAACATTGGCTGTATGAATTGGTTAATGTGGAATTTAGATTAAAAGGGTCATCCGTAGAGGATCAGGTTATAATTAGATTGATTAAATTTAGATAAACCTATGTATTACAATCTTGCACCAGTGCAAGGTTTGATGATGGTGATTTTGGCATCTGGTAAGGTTACTCCTTTGCAACGTAAATGTAAAGGGTTTGAATCATGGAAATAACCTCTTTATTGTAATGGTAAAATTCCATAAATATTAATTCTCTCTAGACTCTACATTAGTGAACACCCCGTGACTCGTGTATTGGGCTGCTCTTTTTTGCCTTGCATTCCAATGAGAATATTGACTTATTTTCAATGTTCTTGCTTAGTTATTCAATGTTGGTCTCATAGGTTAGTATAAGATAATTAATTATACTGAAATTGTATGTGCAATTGGTGCTTTTTAAGGATCAACGTTTTGGGTACTGGATCCATTTCAGTGATCTGGTTGGACCGGTACATACCAATCATTATTGGTCAGTACATACGGGTATATGCTAATGTTTTAGAGAGGAGGATAAAGGAGAAAAGGAAGGGATGGTGGAAGAAGAGGAAGGAAGAAGGGAAGCAATGGAGGAAGAGGTGGAAGAAGAAGCAAGATTAGGATGGAGAAGGAAGCAGAAGGAAAAAGGGGAAGCAGTGGAGAAGGAGAAGGAAGAAGAAAAAAGAGGAAGCAGTGGAGGAGAAAAGGAAGAAGAAGAAGAACGAAAAGGAGATGAAGGAGAAGAGGTGCGGCAACGTCAAACAGCAGTGGTGGCGGCAGCGACATCACAAGAAGAGGACAGCGGCAAGAAGAGGGCTCGTATTCGTGAACCCTAATTGCTATGTTTTTTAAATACTGAGTTAGACCGGGCTTAATGCTATTTTAGGTTTTTTTCCCTTAGTTGGACCGGATCGCCTAACATGAGGGCGGTTCATGTACCGGCCCACTCTCGGACCGGTGCATACCGCTCGTTTCATACCGTTTCAAATGGTATGGTAGCCAATGGTTTATTGACCTTCTTGATTCCACAGTTTTTCTGTTTCTTTCTTCTTTTTATTTGATATGTTCATTTTATATTGTACAAAATTTCTTTCTCCTTTTTATTAGTTACGGACCCTTATGTTCATCTCATTGTTTTCATGAGTATGACATATACATAGTGGATATTGCATAATTTAGCCTCCTACATTTTGCAAATACTTAGGTTCTTCATTTAAATATTGCTCAATTTTTCCATCTCACCTGCCACACTTCATATCCAAAACCATGAAATTGAAGTCTCATGTTTCCTTAGAGAATCAATATACTAATTTCATTTAAAATCATGTCAACTCATAAAAGATTAAGTATGCACATAAGGATTTCATGCTTTCTGATATGACTAGCTTTTCTTGTAATTTTTTTAAAATTGACTCCAGTGTTTTTTTGAAGTTATGGGATGCTAGCACTGGTCAAGGATTTCATCGGTACTCTGAGCACCAAAAAAGGGCATGGTCTGTTGATTTTTCATCAGAAGCTCCAACTAAGCTCGCAAGTGGAAGTGATGATTGCTCTGTGAAACTTTGGAGCATTCATGAAGTGCGATCTCTTAATCACATTTTTATATTTAAGTATTCTTTAGCTTTGTTTAATTGAATATTAAATACTTCTTCTAATGGAATAAAACAAAACCAAAATTATGTTTAGCATGCCATAAAATTGATTGTTGCTTGTCCAAGATCCTTTTGTTAACATCCTTCTAAACTAGTCAGTGATATGGTGACATGATCTGTCCTGTTTTTATCTCATGATGTGTGTAAATCATACTTGTTATTCAAAATAAGCTAAGTTTGCAAAGTAGTGTGATAAATTAATAATGCTCCAGCACATTCTATTGTTTTTAAAATCAGCATGTCATGGCTTTTTTCTCTGTTCTTTCAAGTGAAAATTGATGTAATATATCCAACTTGCAGAAAAATTGCATCAAGACTATCAAGAATGTTGCCAATGTATGCTGTGTACAGTTCTCATCACATTCGTCTCATCTACTGGGCTTTGGTTCTGCTGATTACCGAATTTACTGCTATGATCTACGTAATACCAGGATTCCCTGGTGTACTTTGGCTGGCCATGGAAAGACTGTAAGCTACATCAAATTTCTAGATTGTGATACCATTGTATCTGCATCTACTGATAATACCTTAAAGCTTTGGGATCTCAAGAAGACAACTGCATCTGGTTTGTCCACAAACGCCTGTAGCTTGACCATGACTGGTCATACTAATGAGAAGGTTTTCAGCTTGCTTTCTAGTTTTTACCTACCAAATACCACTTACATTTCCTACTGTTTAATTACTTTTGGGGTGTAATTAACTTTTTATTTGTCTGCAGCTTTTTTATATTTAGTTATAATGTACTGTTCTCTTGAAATGCAGAACTTTGTAGGCTTATCTGTTTGTGATGGGTACGTTTTATGTGGTTCCGAAACTAATGAAGTGAGTATACAATTTCATATTCATTTGGTACCTTGAACTTTTTATAACTTTCACAGATGATCTAGCATCATGCAGACATTTAAATGTCTCAGTGTGTCTACCGGCAACTCATACAAAAGACCATTATAGTTTTTGCCAGCAACTAATTGTCGAAGTTACTAAAATTGCTCATACATAGAACTAAATATTGTGCAACAGAATGTGTGTTTCCTAACAACCTCTTCTAACTTTTTGATTTTGTTAATGTAGGTGTATGCATATCAGAAAACTTTTCCAATGCCAATAACATCACACAAGTTTGGGTATATTGACCCTATTACTGGCCATGAAATTGCTGATGATAACGGACAGTTTGTTTCGAGTGTCTGCTGGAAAAGAACATCAAACATGGCTCTTGCTGCAAATTCCAGTGGCTGCATAAAGTTGTTGCAAATGGTCTAGAATAAGAGAAACTCGGAGAAAGCAAGATCACTTCATTGTTTCTTCAAAATTCAGTAGCAGATGCTGATTTGAAATCCCTGGATCAGCCAAAATTGCTGCAAATCTTGGTGTTAACCTTGCTTCAAGCAGCCTCTACCTTGTGACCAATCAAAATCGGGCATTGACATAATGAGGTTATCAGTATATGTGAATGTTGCAGTTCTCACCGTGTCTCAATAGCTTTTTGAGCTTATAGAAGCCGGAATGTCTTACTCAGAAATTGTCGGTTTTGTGTCATCTTTTTTACATCAGCAAGCTGGTCTATTAACTTAAACTGAGCCCCTACTCCATCTTTTAGGAGCAGCTAGCTAGCTTCCCCAACTACAAAGATATGCTACGAATTGGTGTGCTCTGAGCTAAACAAAGTACTGTTGGACAGTGCAATTACGGAAGCAAGCAGACAAAGTAAAAGGCCATTTGCTTGGCTTTTCCCTTGTGGCTCTACCCCTGTTTAAAAGGAAGTGTTCCTAAGTAACAGGACTTCAATCATCAAAGTTTTTGTCAATCAAGAACAAGTACATGAAAGCTCAGTTGGTTTGTTTCTGGTGAATGTAAAGCTTTTGACATCTGGATGGTGAGGCAGATGCAAGATCTGCAGTTTTACAGGTTGTGTGTATATTCAGCAATGAAAACAACATGAATTTTCATCGAAATCAATTGGAGAAAATTTACAGGAAAGTTTTGCATGTTTTGTACAATTATCCTCATGGAGATTATGCTTGTATGAATGAACTGTTTTTTCTCTCTTCTTCATACTTTTCACCACAAACCACCCTACCTCATCCTCCACCAGCAGCTGCAGTTACTGAAAGCATAGTCAAGGTTAGTACTGTGTCTGGGGATCAAACAAGAGTTTGCTTCCTTTCTCACTAATGTTATGAACAAGAAGAAGGCTATATATATGCTTTGAACAAGATTTTTCCGGCACATCGTTCATTGCGACGCCAACCGGTGCAGATCCAATCAAGGTGCAACAGCAATATTTCGTGTGTGTGATTGTGCATCAAGAAATGTGTTTATGATGAACTGGTTATTAGTTTCACATCAGAATCACATCATCCTCAACTTGATAGTATGATAGAGTTGGAACCTGCAGGGCAGCCAAACTTCAGTCATCTTGAATCATTACATTCTATCAGGGAGTGGAAGGAGACATCACCAGAACTTGCCATTGCAAGATGAGAAAGACAGGGCTGGCCTCACTCTCTTTTTCACTTTGCTTTTATGGATAAAATTGCTGACATTAATTCTTCTCAAAACTCTCATGGAAGGAATCTCATGCAGTGGATCATCCTTTTTTCTTTTTTTTTAATCTTATCTTTAACCTCCAAAACTGTTATCTTTGCTCCCAAATGTTGATTGTGGTGTCAACTTAGCTGAGGAAAGCATTCCAAGGAGAGGTAGGAATTCTAAGAACCCTAGAATGAACAACTGACTTATGACATGTAAAGCATCAAAAGAGAAGAATATGCCCTCTTCATTCCTTTCAGTCTATGGTCTGATATGTGTTTTAGTTGAACAAACACCGCTCACCAGAGTGTAAAATTAAAAAGATATATGATAATACAAAGGAAAGATTAGCTCTTTTAGGGTTGTGGCAAATATGTTCTTTGGCCTACTTAATATAAATATGAAAAATTTTTTTTTAGTATGCTTTTAATTGTTTGAACCAAATTGATCGGACTTATGCTTATTAAAGGAGATTATTTTTTGTAATCTTTTTTTTTATTTACACTCATATTAATTTTTTTTATTATTTCTAAATATCATCTTCTTTCTCCCTCCTCCTCGAAAGATCGAAGTAACGAACAATCTTGACAACAAACGATGATGACATTGGTGGTGAACGACAACAATGTATAACAACGTTAGAGGTGAGCAACAACATCTTCTTCTTTCTAAATATCATCTTCTTTCTCTTCTTCTTTTCTCCCTCCTCCTTGAAAGATCGAAGTAAAGATGACATTGGTGGTAAACGACAACAATGTATAGCAACGATTAGAGGAGGTGAGCAACAACAATGTTGCGGGGGGAAGGAAAAGAATAATAATAAAATTGATAATAAAGTAGTTATAAATAGTAAACTAATATTTTATTTATTTTTTAAAGAGTTATTAATAATAAAAATAAAAAAGAAACTATGAATAGTGAACTTCCTATTAAATTATGGGTTTATTCAAATATGTCTGTCATCTGATTTTATCCGAATTTCAGATTATTCTTTTATTTTTTTTTGAACTTTAATGTTTATTTCTCCCGTATACGAATATTTTCTTAACAAAGGAGACGTCAAATGTCTCAATAAGATAATGATGTGACAGCCACATGACGATGATATGGTAGCGGTAACTTGACACTGTGGCAACCATACGCTAATATAATGTGACGCGCACATTACACGGTTGCCACATCACTAACATACGGATGTTGTTGCACCATCATCGATATGACATCTCTTAAAAATACTGTGACATCCTAATGATAAAGATGTAGTGGCAGTGTGATGACTGTCATGACATGGACACCAATGTCAATGTGACACTCTACTGGCATTACGGCAATGGCGTGTCAGCCACGTACCAATGGTTTGATAAGATTGGGTCACGTGGTTATCCAATCATTTTCATGCATGCGAGTCGCACCATCACCATATGATTGACTCTATAGTTACCATGTACTCATCACATTCATTGTTGTTTACGTAAAAGCAATTTAATTTTTATTGCTATTTGATAGACATTTAACTGGATTTAGACGAGACTAAATTGTAAGATATATTTCATCATACAAATACTTATAATTTAAAATAACATATGATTATTAATACATCGGGAATTATCTTTCTTTTATTAGCATTGATCATGTTTTGATTCTCAAAACTGATGGTTCCGATTCAATTCCAAAGACACAATTGTAGTGGTTAGCACTTCAACCTCAAACCCTAATGATCATTTTGATAATGATGGGAGTCTAACCCTTACAGAATCCTGAGCGAGAAATCTGTGAATGATATTTAGGAGCAGAGTCTACAGAAGTCACAACTACAAAAAAACATGATCATTATACCATGATTCTATGGTACACACTATTCTAATAGTAGTAGTAGTAGCAGACATTTTTCTTCACACACAACTCCCACAAGGTAGTCGCAGATGGTCAGTCAGTGATCATACATCCATGATTCACATACCAACATGTTCCCAAATAATTTTGCTGTTCATGTAAACCTTATTTTTCTTGGATAATCATATACTCAAATGTACCTCGAGAAACAATTGCCATCGGCTGCTTATTAGGAACACAAATTCATTAACACTATATATAAAAAAAAAAGTCCCAAATGTCCCATACAAGTAAACAAAAAAAAATTAGTATTTCATAATCATTTGTGTAAATACAAGCTTTATGCGAAGCAAGTCGAAGCCGAACTCGAAGATCGATCCCTTCCAAATGCTTATATATGGGAAAACAAATACAAATCTGCTATACAGCAACAGCAAATGTCATCATCTCCTTTAGACATACACCTAGAAAACCCTCTCAATGCAAATTAATCCTGAAATCGACAGGTAGAGGAACAAATTATAACTCTAGTATAAGACTGATCCATGACTAAAATTTTAATTGTACACACAAAACACATCAGAGGACATTGCGAACCTGAATATTTAGATTGACAACACAAACAAAAGGGAGCGCACCCACAATAGATGATATCGTCTAAAAAGTAATAGATGTTATCAATCATTAAATGTACCATAAGTAGTTATGAAAGTGATCCTTCTTCAACAGTACAGGACACACCCAGTAAGACTGGACTTAATTCATCATAAAATATATGGAACTTCAGAATATTATATATAATGTCATGCATCTTACAACTTGCCTACTTCATTATTTGGCACACATTTTTTAATAATCAAGAGAAGAAAAAATCATATAAGCTAGAAAACTATTTTGTATATTAGTACTTAATATGTTGATTTCCAACTGATTTGAGGCATAATCAATTAGACCCGGCATAATCAATTAGGGATAATCAATACCCAATACTATCCAATCTCAGTTTGTTTCTAAGCTGATGACTTCCTTGCTTATATATCTCTCTAAATGTTCTCTTGATGAGAAAAAAATTGTGTATAGGTCAGTATGTGGGTCCCCTAAAGAAAACTTCAAACTCCGCCTTAGTTGAGATTGTTAAAAGGTTGTCCATCAGCATCAGTCCATCCACAGGTTCCATGGTTGCAGCTAATGAAACCTCAGAAAGTAACAGACCACCACAGAAAATGCATACTTCGATCAACCAACGCTTCGTACCTACCTTTTCTAACTCCTATCCAACGAACGAGCCGAACAACCCTACCGAGTCATTTTCCAATTAGTAGAATCGTATCTTTGCTGTACGTTTCTAGGTAACCAGTTGATGACAGTATTCCTATTCTTAACAAAAAACACATCATATACCATATAACGTAATTTTCTATGGGTACAAACTCCTTGAATGTAAAGGTTTGTTCAGTTGCTTGGAAAAGAAGAGTGATCTATTTTACTTTATACTTTTCTTAAGAAGCTTGTGACATAGCTACATCCAATAGCTGTATTACCCTTAGCTTTAACCTGGAATATAACTCCTATATTCCAAAATGAAATCTCAAAAGGAGTTCCTACATGTATCCGTACCTTGTACAAAGGGTTTTGGAAGAGGGAGACATCCATCAGCGTTATAACAAGCGGTTATCATGACAGAATACCTAAATCCATAAAGACTTGCTTTCTTTATCTTCGTATCCGTACCCTACATTTTACGAGCAATGCTCCTTATATAATTAATGAAAATGGCCAGCCATTGGCAGCTATGTTATCGGATTGAGTTCGAGCCCAAGTATCACCTCTCTCAGGGATAAGGGTAGTAGAGGACTAATAAAAAACAGCTCGAGCATCGCCAAACCTATGACATGATCCAGTCCTAGTTCAGTAGAGACACAATGAATAGACATCCAGTCATTCAGACTAATGGGAAGAATAAGGACATGGAAACCATTAAAGTTCAAAGAAAATCTTAAGATTCTGGACTTAAGCTATCAATTAAAACAAAAGTCAAAGGTTCAGCTGCTGGAACCAGCTCGACCCAAGGGACATAGGATCCAATAGAGTTTAGATCCAGATCAGATTGAGTCAATGTCAAGTCCAAGTAATCAGATCCAAGTGACAATGGTAGTCTGCCAATCAAACAAAACTTTTCTATATTTTCTATTAAAATACCATGCAACTGATTTAGCTAGAAATTATTGACGGATCAATCAGACCTAAATGCCAAGCCCAAGTTCCAAGCTATCTGGGAATTGCAAGTTCACATGTCAAGCAAAGCAATGAAAATGATGCCAATGGAGACCTTAAATTCTCCAATGATTTTAATTACTAATTCACATTTTCTCAAGTCTTTATGCCACAGCTCTTTAAAACAAAGAATATTTTCCTTAATATCTTAATCCGACACTGACATGGCATGGCAAACTCCTAAGTTTTACATGTTAATCAGTAGAACTAATCAAACCAACTAATTATGATGAAATGAGCTTGAATCAAACCACTATTAGGAATGCAGAACAAAGAATTTCATAACAAGCATATAAATAGAAGGCAGATGGATTTAGCAAAGAGTGATGACCGCAGAAAGTGACAAGAACTAGTAAATAGGAGAGGAGCGGCAGCTGACCATCTAAGCAAGTAGAAGCGGCACTTGGGCGGCGTCGCACCGCTCACCCCCTGCTTTAAGCTCACCGGGCCGCACCCCACCCGGATCGGCACCTTACCGGTACTCATACCGCCCACCCGGATCCCCACCTTCGTCCTCACTTCCAGCACGAACCGCACTTCCTTGCTCCTGAAGCCGGCCCGGATCCTCTCCCCGGCCACCTCGTCCACCGCCACCCCCCTCGCCGCCGCCGCGAACCGCACCACCGTCCGATTCCTCCTCGCCTGCTCGAACCCCGCGATCGCCGCTTCCCCAACCGCCACGTCGCCGTCGTCATCCGCCACCGACATCCGCGCCTTCCCGTCACCGTACTCCACCACGATCCTCCCGTTGGGGTTCGACACCAGGATCCCGACCTTGGTGACGGCGTCGAGGAAGGTCCCGTCGGGCCTGACGGCGACGCGAAGCTGGGTAGCGTTGAGGGACTCGAGGCGGAAGGAGGGCAGCCGCGGCTGGAACCAGAGGTACGCGAGTCCGGCGACCACGGCGAGTATCGCAGCCGCGACGAGGGCCACCGCGGATGCCCAACAGCAGATGCGGCAGCAGGAGCAGCGCCGCGAGCGGCGGTAGCGCTGGCGGGGGAGCGGCTTCCCGGGCTGGCGGAACGCCGGGGGCAGCGGCTGCCGCCTGGGCGGCGGCCTCGGCGCGGCGGGGGCCGCCGCTGCCGGGTCACGGTACCCCGGTGGCTTCTGGAGCACCGGCTTCGAGGTAGGCTTCTCTTCCGCCATTTCCGTCAAAAATCTATTTCGATCCTCAATTCAAAGAATACATTCACATTCCTCCATAAATCCACATAATTTCTTGGAATTTACTTTCCCTCAAAATTTAAGATCATATCCAATAATATATAATTCAGATGCAGAAAAAGAGAAATAAAAAGGGAGAAATTTAGGGACGAAGGAACAATCCAACGGTGAAGATCTCATTACACGGTGCGTTGAGATGAGAAAGGGAACCCCAACCCCCACAGAACAGAAGGAAAGCGGAGGGCAGCGGCGACAATGGAAGAGAAGCGAAGCGAGGCGAAGGCGGAGGAGGAGAGTGCGCGGCGTGTCTCCCGTGGCATGCGAACGTAGCGAGGCAGGTGCCTCAAGATTCGCGCGATCCGGCGTGATCGCCCGGCGGGAGGCGGAGGACCAGTCTCAGGCGGAGAAGGGGAAGCTGGGGAGGGTGTGGTCTTAAATGCCAGGGTCGACGTAGGAGGAGGTGACGTGGAGTTGGCGGATGGGTCCCACGCAGCTTGTCGGTGATGCCGACGACTCATTAGGACCTTAATTCCCGTCCATAAACGTTAATCCAGTGCTACTACTGCCACCGTCCGCTCTTAGTTAATAAGATTAGGGACTTCATGATATCTAGTAAACTGGGATAAACTGAGTGACACGTCAGCAAACAGCTGTTGCAGAGACAAAGAGCACGCAGGCAAGGCAGATGAACATCCCCGTTTTGTCCCACTCCGTCTCAGGTCGAACCAGGTGGAGCTGTAGCAGATACATGTAACTCTGCCTGTGCAGGTCTTACGTATCACGTCAAGAGTAGTGTCCAGCGAGCACGAGAGACGCTCCACGTTCGCCCACATGGTGGCGTCCCCCTCCTCCTTTGTTCTCTTCCACCAGCCCCGGCAGCGGCGCGGAGAACCAACGACAAAGTACAGTAGAAGGAGGTGGACCACCAGGTGTTTGTTGTTTTGGCGAGGCTGTGGAGTATGTGGTTTCACGTCCAAATCCGCGGCTAGGGGAGGATGGGATCTCGTTGTTACGGCAGATGGCAGGTCCGTTCCTTCCCCCTCCCTCGTTCGTGTTTCTCCTTCAGCCGATGGACCACACCAACGCACAGACGCTGAGAGAGAAGAGAAATAGGCATCGTGGGGACACATATTAGTGCTTCTTTACCATTCTTTGTTCGAAGAATGTTAATTTCTATTACATGTGTAAGATCAACAGGGCGAGAGACTGGTCCAGTCCATGTTTAGCATGCAATCTCCTGCTTGAACTTGGCCAACTTGGCGAGCTCATCGGCGGCCTCCACCAGGTGGTCGAGGCGAGCCACGAACTCGATGAGCAGCGACGTGAAAGTGGCGAGGGACAGCGCGGCCGTGCTCTCCAGCGCACGCATCCGGGGAATCGACTCCCCGCTCATGTCCTCCTCGAAGTCGTCCACCTCCCTCGACGGCCATGAATGGAGCCGCCTCTGCTGCTTCTTCATCGTCTCGTGGTACGTCTCCGCCTCGGCCTTCTTCCCGTCCGCGTCGGTGCCGTTCAAGGACGAGACGTGGGAGAGTTTAGCGGGTGGTTTGGTCGAGCAATCACAGACGTCGTGGCTCAAGGTGAGGAGGTAGGAGTGGAGGTCGATGGAGCGCTGAAGGCGTTCGGTCGAGGCGTGGACACGCTTGAGTAGGCTGGTGTGGAGGCTGTGCTTCATGTTGCTGAGGTCTTTGGCCAAGCTCCGCAGTAGCTCCGCCGCCTGGTTCGTGGCATCGAGGATCTCGGTCCGGAATGTGTACCTGAGGTTGTAGGGCGCCTGACGAAGAAGACACTCACAGTGTAAGTGGCCTCATTATTAGAATACTTTTCACCCCATCTATTCTTACATCTATTATCAATTTAGCCTCAAGCTTTCTTTTTCTTTTCCGAAGGAGAATTAGTCCACTTAAATTATTTTGAATAATAATAAAGGATTTTTTTTAACCCCCTTTTTTTTATTTTTTGAGTTCAAATCTAATTTTATTTTATTTTATATTGTTGAAATAGATGTATTTATTATCTCTATTGATAAATATGTCGAGTGATCAATGGACCATTATTCCACTTCGGTTTCACATTCACATCGGATCAGGTTCTGATGCCAATTAGAGAGGATACGAATCTATTCTCGGGCACAGCGGTTGCTGGTGTCATGGAAACATATTACGCCTATGATTTGGGCATCCAACCACAATCCACTGAACTGCATATTTCTCTAAAAATTTATGAGTAGAAGAATTAAGAGTATGAAAATAAAATTTTCTTAATCCAAAAATAAAGATAAGGTGATGTACATCGATCATTCTATGATCTTTTATATATAGCCAATTATTAGGAATTTTTTTATTTTAAAAAAAAACATCATTAACAATTAGATGTATAATAAAATAATTATTTAAAGAAATTTATATGTTATGATTAAACAAGATGAGTTGATTGATATTATGATAGGAGGAGAAATAAAGAGAGACACAAGAAGATTTTTGCTATGAGATGATCTTTAATTTAATGAGAGATATTATGTGCATGATGAAAAATGATTGGTATAGAGGATGTCAGATAGTTGGCAGGCAGATCATCATCATCTTACTGGTGAATCAAGAGATTAATAAAAGCATGTAAAAACCAGATTGGATGTCACCGTGCGATACCTGTATCTCCGAGTGAAGGCAGCCATGCAGTGCCATCACCTCGTAAGCGCAGTGCCGAAGCACGGCGCCGACCTTGACGTACTCTGCCCACGGGTAGAACATCTGCATGAATCTCCCGTGTGGAGGTTCCCATTTTGCAGAATTGGCCTGCGAGATGGACCGCTCATCACGCATCTGCTTCAGTTTCTTGGAAGATTGGTTGACGTATCAATGACAGAACTGCGTACCAAGGAATCGAGCTTCGCCGAGGAGTTCAACGTCGACCGGCATTTCCGAAACGCCGGCTCGTCCTGGAAGTCGTCCATCACCGTCTTCGAGAACTCCGGGTGGTCCGACCCGTCGTCGCTCAGATACTTCTTCACGCACTCTAGACACAGGAGGAGGAATGAGATCGAGGAGTCGGATGCGCGAAGAATCAAGAGAAGAAGAGTAGTCGACCTTCGAGGGAGTCGGCGACGGAGTCGAAGTGGCCGACGAGCTCCCTGTGAAGCTGCTCCCCGGCCCATATCGGGAAGATGAGGACGTTGACGAGGACGGCGACGATAGCGCCTATGGCGATCGAGTAGAGCCGATCCATGGCGGTCCTGATCGGGTTACCCATGCGGTATCCCGACACGATGATCAAGCAGTAGGTGAAGAGGATCACCCTGAAGCCGTACTCGTAAGGCACCAACGACGGCCACAGCTTCATGAACGACGTAATAGATCCTGCGTACATGCATGGTATGGTATATTGCAAGACGTGACGGAGCTAAGCACGGATTGCGTAAGAAGGGCGTGGGATTCGAACTCACCGACGAGGAAGATGCTGAGGCCAATGACGTAAGGCTCTGCGACGTGGCCACTGGACATGGCCACTTGGATCACCACGACGGCGAAGACCCCTGCCAGTAAACTCCCTAGTGCTCGATTGAACCCTCGATTGAAGGTTGCACCTGCGAGCCAGTAACGCTCACTTCGTTAGATCATTCTTAGCATGAGTTTTGTTTACAGCTCGAAGGCGTGCGTGCATGGACGAGGCAGTACCGACGGTGTACTCGAACATGATGGCGACGGTGAGGATGGACCAGATGATGTTGGCGCCGAAGACTTGGTAGGGAGCTCGGAGGAGGATGAGCAGCGATACGAGGAGACAGGCCAAACCTACCTTGAGCGAGAAGGTCACCCTGTTGGTGTCCTCCCTGGCGAACTGCCACACCTCCATCATCCATTTCCTCAGGGGGATGGTGATGGCCTCGTCGCCTTCTCCGCTCCCGGATTTCCTCGCAGTTTCTCGTGGCACTGCACTCGACGGCAAGCCGATATCGATGCGAATGCTGCTGCCCTTCTTTCCGTTCATCTTCTGACGACAAAACCTATCTATTGCTGTCTGCGGCCTCCTGAAATGAGTGGAGTGATGAAGCTGAGCTGAGATGAGAATATAAAGGATGTTTGCTGATGAGATGGTGGTGCAAGTAGATAGAACAGTGGTGTCGTGGCACACCTGTAACGTGATATGGAGAATTATACCTATAAATAATACAAGGAAAGATGCATAGGAAACATGAGGGATTAGAGGGAGATAGATGCTCGAGCACAAAAATGCTGTTTTGGTTGATGGATAATTGGAATCTAAACATTTGCTGTTTCCCATCGACAACACATTCTTCTTTCTTGCTTTCTCATCCTGTTTTGCAACAATAAACTATTCTCTCATACTTCAAAAGAAGAATGCTAAACAGGTGACACTACAGTTTCATTCTATTTAGCACACCCGGATGCTTAAACACATGACATACGACATAGCAGTTAAATGAAATAGATAGATATCAAGGGCAAAAGAAGAGGAAGGGTTAGTGATTGAATGGCAACACAGCATAACAAATGGAATACTAGCTGTCTTCATGGCATCTGGTTCTGAAAGTATCCTGTTGTTATTTATTTTCGAGTACTCTCACCTCAGCTGCCAAAAAATGCTCTATACATCAAGCAAGAAACCAAGGAGACAAGAAACGTTAACTGGTGCAGGTGGTTCGTTTCTGATGGGAATGTTCAAAGTTGGGCATATACCTCCCAGAAAAATGGGAATTAATTGCCCCAACACTGCAAATTGCTGGGAATTAACATAAACATGGGGAAATGGCAATGACAGCTTTCTTAGTGGAGCTATCTTTTGCATTATTAGCAATTTGCAAACGGAGAATAATGTTGGGTGCACATGAAAGCTGAGAGGATTTAAGATAGGAGGACTAACTAAACCATCTTCCTTCACTCTCATCTACTACTGCATCAACCCACATTTTGTTAGTGCAGTCACAAACATCAGCCAATGACAACAAGACACAAATTGCTTAGTACCAAACAGTTCTAACACGTAAAACCTCTCCTTTTGTTGCATATTCTGTTCTTCATGTCTGAAAATGGGAGGATAACCTCAGAAAGGACCAAATTCCCCCCACCCTTTTTTCTTCAAGTGCCAAAATAAAGCTTCTTTTCATAGGTTCAAGTGAGATGTTTGCACATTCTTATGTTACATATTAATCCAATTTTAAAGAATGCCATAGAAGATTATGGGCGAGGTATCCTATTCCTCTATGAAGGGACCTAAAAATGGGACTTGATCCTCCCAGAGGTTATTACCAAGTCTATCCAGAAAAATAAGCAATTAGCTCAAAGCCATCAAACTTCTAAATGGATGACTTGATAAATGATCACTTTACTGTGTACTCTACTTTAGATGAAGAGTTCCCAGTTGTAAAAATAAAACAACAAGAAGCCGCAATGCCCAAACTATTT